CCCCAGATCATTCACACACACACACACACACACACACACACACACACACACACAGTCACTCAAATAAACACACACACACTCATACAGATATAAACACACACAGATACTGACACAGACACTCATACACTCAATATAAACACACACAGACACTCAAACACACAAACTCACACAGATACACTCATGCACATAAATAAATGATCATTTCAAAAACTATATAGATGAGGCAGGAGAGTTGTTCAGTGGATACAATGCTCGGCCCACAGGCATTAGAACCTGATCTGATATGAGCAAACCTATGTAAACAATGTGGTGCAGTGCACATTTGTCTTGTACTCTAGTGCCATGGAGACTAACAGGACGGTCCCAGAGCTTGCTAGATGGACAGACTCTGGGTTCAGAGCTCAACAAAATGAGGCCAGGAGTGATTGAGGAAAACTCCCAATATCAACCTCAGGTTTTCACATATCAACACACACATGCATCTACACCTCTCCCCCAAATGCAGTGACTAGTCTTGAAAACCCTGATCTCAGCTGAGAGACAGATCAGTTGGTAAAGTGTTTACAGGACCAACATGAGGACTGAGTGCAGACACACCTTAGCACACACCTGAAATCCATGTGGACATGGCAGTATGCATCTGGCACCCCAGTGCTGGAGATGTGGGCATCTATGCGTGTGCATACACACACACACACACGCACACGCACACGCACACGCACACGCACACGCACACGCACACGCGCACACACACACACAGACACTTTCTTCTGGTTTTGTGTTTGAAGGTATACCTATCCACTCACACATACAAGTATGTGTGCACTCACACAGACACACACACTCACACAAATACAGACACACAGGTATTGATACACATGCATACATGACCACACTCAGTTGCATACACATTTATACACGATATATACACAAAACAAAACAAAAATAACCATTCTGAAGGACCAGAACTCAGCAATGTCAGGCAATGGTAGCCCACACCTTTAATCCCAGGACTCAGAAGACAAGCAGATGGATCTCTGTGAGTTCAAGGCCACACCGAGCTACAAGAAATTGATCCAGTTCTAAAGAACAACAGCTCTCACAAAGGTGATCTCAGCATTTGGGATCATATGTATTTAATCCCAGCACCAGGGAGGTGGAGACAGAAGTGATATGGTTGGGCGGAGAAAGGAACATAAGGTGGGAGGAGACAGGAATTAGGGGCATTTTGCCTCTGAGAATTCATGGAGACAGGAACAGCCATTTTGGTCTGCTAGAGGTAAAAGCTAGTGATTGGCTGCTTTGCTTCTCTGATCTTCAGCTTGAACCCCAATATCTGTCTCTGGTTTTTATTTTTCATGCTATAGCTCTCTCCTTTTCTAAACCCAAGCACATTTGTTAAAGTAAAATCTAAAATCTCTGTCTCTTGTCAGAAGAGCTACCTGATATGGGACAGAAGAAAAATTAAAAAAGAAAAAAAGGACTATTGCCACTGATCTCATAATCCTTTGGTTCTAC